CCCTCCCCCTCTCCGTTCTTCCCTGCCATACCAGATGGCGACCTGCCCTCCTCCGTGCCGCTGAATGCGTAACGTGGCTCGGGCACCAACGTGAGCTGGGTGACGGACCCTTCGTTCGGCACGCGCGTGCTGCAGTGCGACGCCAGCCTGGGCAGCCACGTGTCCATCCCCGGCCTGTCCTACGGCCAGGCAGGGCCCTGGGCGCTGGGCGTCTGGGCGCGGTGGAACGTCACCAACGGCACCGCCTCCGCGTACGTGCTGAGCCAGAACAAGACCACCAACGTGGAGGCCTCGCTGGACCCCAACACCGTGGGCCTGTACCTGCCAGAGCTGGGCAACCCCAGCTATGGACTGGTGCGCGCCGTCGTCCAGGACTCCACTGCCACGCACGGCAACACCAGCGTGCCCCTTTTCCTCGACTCCAACGGCTGCATCGCCGACATCCTTTGCACCAACCAGAAGAACTTCACCCTGGTGAGTTATTCTCGGGGGGAAGGGGGGGGGTTGAGGGTGTGATATTCCGGTGCCAAGGGAGACATTGTGTGCGCATCGCCGACCGCGCCTGGGCGTCAGGCCAGGGCCGCCGGCAGCAACATTGACAGCAACGCCCCCTGTGCACAAGGCCCCCCATTCCTCAAAACTCCCACTCTGCACAGATCGAGGACACCCAGGACTGGCACCTGCTGGGCCTGACCACGCTGCCCGACGGGCGCCGCGGTTTCCAGCTGTACATCGACGGCCAGCTGTCGGCCGAGCTGCCGCCCGGCCTGTACACGGACTACAAGGGGGGCATGCACAATGCCAGCGGCGGCGCGCCCATGGACCTCACCGGCGACCTGGTCCTCTGCTCCCGCTCCGACCTGGACGCCGAGCGCTTCTTCACCGGCCAGCTCACCCAGCTCATGGTCTGGAACCAGTCGCTGACGGCCGCGGACTGGGCCAGCCTGTACAGCGCCGGGGCCACGTACCTGGCCGCACCTCCCGCCAGCCCGGCGACCGCCAGCCCGGCGACGACCGTCGCCGCCGCGCCCGGCCCCCCTGCGGCTGTCTCCCCGCCCCTCACCGCGGCGGTGGCGGTGGTGCAGGGCCAACCCGTGTGCACGCCCAACGGCAGCGTGGCGGGGCTGAGCAGCCTGACCGCCTGCTACGCGGGCTACGTCTGCGCGCCGCTGCCGCGCGCCCAGCTGGAGCGCTTCCTCCCCGTCTACGCGCGGCTGCCGGAGGGCCGCATCGGGGTCTGCGCCTACGCGCCCGACGGCTACCGCCTGCCCGACCCCGCCGCCGCGCCGCTGCCCGCCGTCTTCTACCCACTCAACTCCCAGACCCTGCAGAGCTTCCCCCTGCCCCTGTACGCCGGCGTCAACTCCGGCGCGGGGGTGGTCACCGACCCGGTGTTCGGTGCCGCGCTGCGCTGCGACGGGCAGCAGGCGGACCTGGTGGGGCTGGCCACGCCCAACTACACCACCAACGGCTCGCTGAGCGTGAACGTGTGGATGCAGGTGACCAACCTGACCGGCGGCGAGTTCTCCTACATCTTCTCCCAGATGGGCGCGGTCAACAACCTGAGCAACTCGGGGTGGGGGCCCAACCAGGTGGGCTGGGGTTCTGAGGACAGAGTCCCATGCATCAGCAAGGGGCGGGGGTGTCGGGGTGGAGGGGCTGGTGGTTTCTGTGCGTGTCTGCGGTTGTGAAAGCTGAGGTTTGGGGGTCAGCCTCCAGCCCCTTCCTCTCAGTACGTCGCTCTCAGAGTGTGAATGCGTGGGGATGCATCGGCCCATCACCGGCCTGCCTTCCTCCTGCGCCAAATCTCTCGCTTCATCTCCCCTCCCCTCATGTGTGTGCACACCCAACTCAGCCCACCCATTGATTACGCCTCCCATGCCACCCACACCGAAACAAACCCTGCCCCGCCCTGCAGATCCAGATCTACTTCCCGCAGCGCCAGCACCCGGCCTACGGCGTGGTGCGCGCCTACGCCCGCGACTCCAATGACACCTACGACGGCCCGCAGGACCAGACCTGGCTCGACTCCGACGGCTACGTGTCCAACAACTCGGCGCGCGCGGCGCCCAGTGCAGCCCTGGACGGCGGCTGGCACATGCTGACGGTCACCACTATGCCCCCCGGGCGCAAGGGCTTCCGCCTCTACCTCGACGGCCTGCTGGTGAACGAGATTCGGGCGGGGCAGACCGCGGTGTCCAGCCTGGGCGACGTCGTGGGCGCCACCGCCGGCCTGCCCATGGACCTCTACCCCAACGCGGTCCTGTGCACGCGCGCCGACGACCCCACCTCCCGCCAGTTCGACGGGCGGCTGGCCAACCTGGGAATGTACGACGTCGCGCTGACCGAGGACCAGGTGGACGCGCTGTACCTCGCCGTACTGCCCGCCCTGCGCGCCGCGGACGCCGCGGGGGCCGCCGCCGCGCCGGCCACCGAGTCCACCATCATCTCCCTCCCCGGCGCGGGGACCAATGCCACCTCCAGCCAGTCCCAGACCACGGTCAAGGGCAACGTCTGCGTCTTCCCCGCCCTGTACCAGGGCAACGTGGTGACCGAGTGCGTGCAGATCGCGGGCGTGGCCTACTGCCAGGTGGAGGGCCGGCAGTGGGAGGAGTGCGCAGGGGGGGAGCGTGTCCTCCCCCCCCGCCGCCGCCAGCCCCGCCGCGAGCGCCGACTCCGCGGGCGTGCAGCGCATGACACAGGCGGGGGAGCGGTGCCAGTTCCCGGCCACCTTCCAGGGCTCCCTGGTCACCGATTGCGTCAGCCTCAACGGCGTCCCCGTCTGCCAGGTGCGGTGCTGGTTGTGGTTGGGAGGTGCGGATGAGAATCGGAGGACGGAATGATCAAACGTTCTAGGTTGTGAGATGGTGTGCGCCCTGGCTGCAAGACATGATTTCCTGAGCATGTCCAAGGGATACCCAGACCATGCTGGAAGGCACATGCTCCATCCTGGTCTAGGGCAGTCTCCTCTCCCCTCCTATGCCCTCCCACTTCCAACCTTTCAACATCCCCTTGCCGCAGACATCCTCTGGCGTGTGGGACACCTGCGCGCCGCTGTCCCCCTCTACCTCACCCTCCCCTGCCTCAGCGTCCAACACCACCGCCGCCCTCAAACCCCGCGCCGTCCTTTCTGCCAGCGGGCAGGCGTGCCAGCTCCCCCTGAACTACCGCGGCATTGCCATCGACAACTGCGTGTCCATGGGAGGTGAGCCGGGCCGTAGTTGTGTGCTGTCAAGTGCGATGGGCCCTGGCCATAGGTCCATGCCCTGTTCCTGCTCAGCCTGCAGCACCCCCTCATCTCCCACCCAAGCCCTTCTCCCTTTCCACCCGCAACCCAGGAGGATCATGGTGCTGGACCGAGGGGGTCCAGGGCTGGGCTTCCTGCGCCAACACCACCTTCGTCCCGCCCTCTGGGGCAGTCGGGTCGGTGAATGCCTCCGTCGTGCCCGTCCCCATCATCCCCATCCAGAACCGGTGGAGCACGGACGGCGACATGTGCATCCTGCCCACCGTCCAGGACGTGAGTTGCTTGTGTGGGTTGGGCGAGTGTGGGGCCAGAGGGGGGGGATCACATGCATCGATTCTCCACCGTGCACAGGCACCTGCACTGGGAGGGTGAGAAGCATGACATGTGCTGGTATAGACGCCGGAATCCTGGTGATGGGCCCTCTCAAGTGCCACCCAATTGGCCCCAAACTCCTCACCTTTCCTCCCTCCAACCACCCCCCGCTCTGCAGGGAGACCTGCTGGACGACTGCGTGCAGCGCAACGGCACCTGGTCGTGCCTGACCAACAGCGGCGCCTGGAAGGCGTGTGCGCTTTCCGGCGATGACCAGCCCATGGAGGAGCAGGGCCTGCTGCACGTCGCCAGCCGCAACACCGTGGGCGGCGACGCCTGCCTCCTCCCCGCCGTCCTCAAGTCAGTGTGGCAGCTGGCGCTTGACTCGGGGGGGGGGGATTTTGTCCGGCATCCCGACTTGCAGGGCCTGCACATGTGTTGAGTTGGGTCTTCTGGCAGTCCAGCTCTCACTCCATCCTTACATGCGAACGTCTTACCATGCACGCCTCTCACCCCT